AGTTCACATGACAATATTTTTAGCATTTTGAACACTTACCAAATTTTCATGGAAAAATACCACGAACCAGAAGGCCCGCAGCTTTAAATATTACCTTTTTATTACCGTTATATAAAAAAAACTAAGTTTGGTGAATATCCAAAACAGTTTATTAATTGTTAAACTTGCTAACCTTGGGAAATTTTATTAGCATGCTATTTTATTTGGCCTTCAATTAAGTTTTATATGCACTGTTTAGTAAAAAGGAAAAATAACATGCAGCTTGCACAATTGAGTATTTTGTATAATCATGATAATTAAAACGACAGTTACACGGATCCTTGAAACCAAAAAGTCTCATAATTACCACAATTAGCATGCACAATTTACAATCAAAAGTATAATTAGAAGTTGAAATTTAGGCTTTTCATTGGCAAGACTGCGTGAAAAGAGCATGTTAAGGAAAAGATCAAAGGTTTTAGTCGGTTCATGACCACAACATGTAAAACATACACGCCTGTATTGCTGCGTTCATCTTTTGCAAGATTTACTGACAATAAAAAGTCAAATAAACAGATAAGTATCAAAGAAACATCAACTCCAACATGTAATTAAATGACAACTTTAAATGAATTTTTATTAACTAAAGTTGTTACGCATTTTAGGTTCATTTAACGCTCGTGTGCTAGCATGTATTGGTATCATAAGGAAATAGTCGCTCACTTTTTCAAACGTAAATCATCACCTTAGTGAAGCAACGGGTTATGTCTTTTTTTAATTTAATAGGAGTTAACCAGTTATTGCACTAAGGTATCTACATCTCCTTTACGCACCAGTCAAGCCAATTAAAGGCACAACATTATGCCTAATAAATGGATATCTTTTCTTTCAGTAGAAAGTGCAAACATGTAATACATAACATTTTAATGTGGATTATGACCATGTGAAATGTTTATAACCTGAAGACGATAGCGTTTAATGTAAATGAAAAATGTAAGCAAAGTATTATTTTGACTTCCATACAAAATACTCATTCACTATAACTAAAGTTATTGCTAAAACGCATAAGAAGTAAAAGATGGCTAAGGTATATTGCCATTCGGAAACATTCTGCAAATTGTATCAGTACACCAGAAAATAAAAAGCTTTTGAAAATAAAAATAATGCTATTTTTAGGATAAAATGACCTTTAACCACTTAAGGACCAAGGGTGGGTTAAATGTTAGACAATGAACTTATATCTCTCACATGGGGTCGACTTTGTTATCTACAGGTTATCATAATCATATGATACTTTCATATGATACCTAAGGTATGTAATGTGATCATTTTAACAACTAATAAAGTAAACATTGTCATTACTCTTAAACAATACATTGCTAGTCATTTTACTAATTTAATGTATATTAGACGCCGCTAATTGTCATTCTTGACATATCAATATAAACACGGCTGTATTGATATACATGTTATCACGATTTAAGACCACATGCAAGACCAAGACAGTAAATACGTTTTAGTGCAGTTTTAATTTGGGGGGGGGGGGGGGGGGGGGTCCTTGGGACACTTTGTAGAATGTCCGAATCCATAACCATTGGATTAAATTAACAAAATGACAAAGTTTAAGTCCCTACCATTATAGTTTAACTAAAATTACACGATTTAGCACATAGGTTGATAATGATCACGATGATGATGATGATGATGATGATACTGATGATGATATGTTTACTGTAGCTAATGATGATGATGATTACGACGTTGATATTGTTCTGATTGATGTAGTAGTTAATGATGATGATAATGAAGAACAAGATGATGATGATGATCACGACGATGATGATGATAAAATTGATGATTACAACGATGATATTCTTGTGGTTGTTGTATGTCGTGGTTGATGTTGATGTAGAAGATGTTGTTCTTGATGATGATGAGTACAATGAAAGTGGTTACAGTGATGATGTACTCGCATCACTATTAGAATTGCATAAATTTTTACTCAATAACCTTCAATACTTCTTAACTTTTGAGATTAACAATAAACTTAACACAATACATAAACCTAGATTACTAAAGATATTCCGCCAGTTAAATATTTAATACAAAGAACAAATTATCTGACCACAAACATGACCGTTTGAATATTTTAAGTACATCCCACGGAAGAAAAAAATACTATAGCATACACGTCTGAACTGCGATTGTTTAAAACAAAAAAGATACACCGACACACCGATACTTTGAAAGCTCAGATTCTAAAGGCTTTATAAAGTAATGAGTACAAAAACTACCATTTACAATCGTGACTATACTGAATGCAGCCAAATGTAAAAATTGGGAAGAATGGGGAATTAAAAAAGGTAAACAAAAGACGTGATGTCATGACGCGACAGTTTGATATTATATATGTGATTTTTTTTTGATAAACAAATAAGCGCAGGAAGATTGTACCTAGTATCCCCATCAGCTTTTGTTTGACTGCTGTAATTTTAAACTGGTTGAACCATACCAAAATAGCTGTCCGAATTTCAAATAAGGAAATACAGAACAGTTGTAATGTAGGAGGTATTTGATTAGTAATTATATATACGTTAATTTATTATATTAGGTAAAACTTAAACTTTCACGTCTTCTTTAGAACTTACATGGTCTAGATAAGAGAACTGCTATATTTTTTGACTTTATGGATTTATCAGTTCTATAATCGTTGTAGGGGTTTTCTTATTCCGAAATGATAGTCGTTTGTAAAAATATCAAAACATTGATTGTGAACGTAATACATTTATCTAAATCTCATAAAAAAATAAAGTCGAAACAAATAACTGCTATCAGTTGGTATAAAAACATTCGATATATTTTGACATACTATTACTTCAAAGAGCTGCATTGTTTTTGTATTGACACCTTTTTATCTACTTGAATCGACTTATAACAGCGAAAGTGAAACCAGTCTCAGATTTGTTTAAAACAACAACATACTTTGAAAACTTTCGGGGTATAAAATAATAAATAAATAAATAAATAAATAAATAAATAAATAAATAAATAAATAAATACGAATAAAGAAAAAAATAAAGAAAAAAGAGAGAAAAAAATGAATAAAAAAAACCCGAAACAAATAAAAAAACAAGGGATAAAATGTGGATTCATTTTCATGATAATAATACCCTGATATTGATGGAGGGATTATTTTGTCTGGCGTAGGAATGTCAGAAGAAGTAGCAACAACCTCTGTGAATGGTCAAGTGGAATGTCTCACATTCAACCGCATAGATTTCAGACAATTCCACGGATTCTTCAGAGGATCGCAATTACTATCATTCGGATTGCTTCGGCTTGCCAATGTCATGTTGGAATAAGCGGAAGAATCAGATATTTTATAATTATTGTGCAGCAAATAATTCTTTTTAGTTGTGTTATACAGTAGTTTTATAAAGATAAATATGTGAAATATGCTGAAACTGTCAGAATGAATGATTTTAAAATGTTTGACTGCCCTTTTTGCTGTATAAAAGCAACATTTAAAGCATAACAAAACAAACGCGCGTAGTATATAGCCTTTGTAGTCTTCTTGCAGACGACATTTTAAAAAAGAGAAGTATTAAAAGTTGAAATTCGTCTGACTGGTGTATCCTGTTTCTAGATAGTCCTTTGTTTAAACTTACTTTGTTTTAATTGTGTAAGTTTTCCCTGTGAATTTTATAGTTTAGAACATAATGAGATGCACGAGTTAATTTCCTTTCATATTCCGTCACATTTCGTCATTATAAATTAAATTTTCATTCATATATTTTCCTTGTTACTATTTGTAATTTTAGTTGACAGACTGTGCAATAAACTGGAAAAGAATGGAAGAATCGTGCAATGAAAAATAAAATAAAAACACATTTCATGTTAATACTTAATTGATGCTTAAATGATAATAAAAACTTCTTATAAATTATTTTAAATTATAGCCTAGAAGTAGATTAAAAGGGTTTTTACAGGCTTTATGGTCAGACTTTAAGTTGCTGTTTCTTTTTTCTGATTGTGTTAAGTTCTTTGAAAATTCCTTTCTTTTCTGCTTAACAAAATATTTACTTCAGTTTGGTTATTATTCATGAAATATCAAATTAGGTTATATACATGTATATAATTTATTCAGTGTCTATTCTAGGATTTGAAAAACAGGGGGGATTTTTATCGAACAGTGAGAATTTATTACATTTGTTGGTTTTTTCCTTCTTTCTCTATGTAAAATTTCCCCCCTGCCTCTGAAAAAAGGCGGAATTCTCAAAAAAGGGATGAATCCCCCTCCTAGAATAGACACTGTTTATTACTTATGAAAATGCATGAGATTTAAAAATCCCTTTTTTGAATGAACATGTTTAATTATAGCTTAACTTGGAACAATGTACTCGCTAATACATGTATATATTTTTATGATAGAGAAAAACATTCCTAAAATTGTCATAAGATAATTAAAAATTGATTCTTAAATTTAGATTGAGGGGTTCCTCTGAGTCGGTCGGTTAGAGAGGAGGGAAAGAGAGACTGAACACCCAATTCCTCAGTTTACAATGTTTTTGTCTTCAGACCACGCAACACTAACCCGTGCACACCCCTCCTGATTTTGAATCATATAACCTAATTTGCTTTTCAAAATGATTAATTATTATTCTGCAAAAAACATTATGATCTCAGTCAACTTTTACTTTTTGAAATATTCCAGCACAAATTATTTTATCATTCTGTACCGAATAGCTGCGTTTGTCTTTATACGATTTACTGATATGAACTTTTAAGCCTAAACCACTTTTGATATAATATTTTTCTATACGACACGTCTATGGGATCAATCTAGCGAAGTGTCCTTAAAATCGGTCCTTGCAGGAGGCCGATAGTTTAGTAGTATTTCAAATGACACTGTCAGCTGTTCGCGAGGTGATCGGGTTTAAGATTTTTCGTAATATCTTTCCGCAAGTATCACGTGACCTTCTCTTACCTTTATAAATATCGCAATACCGCTAACGTACTAATCATTGTCGTTTTAAACGTACAAAGGTATATAACTGTATAGTTAAACAAATTGTTTCAATTGTGAAAAGCTTGAATATTTGAAAGTAAGCATTTTGATAGGAGTTATAGTTTGTTATATTTGGACTTATTTGAGTTATACAATGGTTGTAACAAGTGTTAAATCAGAAAATTCAAGAAACATGATCCAGTGCACAATCGTCGGGGATGGAATGGTCGGCAAAACTTGTCTGGCATTGGCTTTTGCCAAATTATCGACACCAAATGACTATGTTGCGACAGTCTTTGATAATTATGCCGGGAAAACTCACGTTAATGGCGATGAATACACCGTCAGCATCTTTGATTCAGCCGGACAAGTAAGTTTATTTTAAATTTATCTTTAATTTCTATAGTAAAAACAGATTTATTATTATTAAAATAAAAAGTTAGAAATACATGTTGATTTATTTTATTTTATCAGAAATGTTTAAAATGCTTTATTCCTTTTGTTCACATCGAATTTATGAGAATGATTAAAATGAAATAAATGATAGTTGATTTAAGTTATAGAAAAATGTTAATATTTTCGTAAGGGCAAAACAATGGTGTTATTACTTAAACATAAAATCTGTATGAATATTTCAGAACTTTTAAGTTTCGACCATGACTAATAATACTTCTATCTTTATAATTACAGCATGACTATGCCAGTCTGAGACAGTTCACGTACGAGGACAGCGAGGTATTTGTCGTCTGCTACTCCGCCGTTGACAGAGATTCCTTCGAGAGCGTAAAAGAATTCTGGGTACCGGAAATGAAACCAAACATGTCACGGAAGAAACCAATCGTTCTGGTGGCGACACAAACTGATCTTCGTAATACAGCCGGGTACGACTCCGATATGCCGGTCTCAAAGTCGGAAGGGGAGAGTTTGGCTAAGACAATAGGCGCCGTCACTTATGCTGAATGCTCTATTCAGCACCACCAGACCGTAAAAAAGGTCTTCTCTGAAGTTGCACAGGCTGCTCTGAAATACAGAAAGAAGAAGACCAACATTGTTCATAAGCTTCTTGGAAGGTGAACAGTAGAATATTGACTTGAACATTTGTAATTCTGTTATCCCAAAACAGAAGAAAATTGGCATTTCGGACGTCACGTCAATTGTGCACGTGCGTGTTCGGGGCGAGGAAGGTTAGAAGAAGAGCAGCGTTTGAACAGGTCGCTGGTTGCATTGGATTATTGCATGTTTGAAATATTAATGATAATTCTAACATTATAACACAGAGTTATAGATGGACTATATATTTCGAAGAGCATTAACAGTTTAAATCCAGTGCATATACATCGTTATTGGACAGGGTCGCTGTCTGTCAATTATTTCGGACTTCCTCGAGTGCTGCGAGAGAAAGAACAAGGCCTTGTCAAGCTGTCAGAAATTGTCATTAATACCCAATCAAGTTCATAATGTACAATATCATTAATTAGTTCTTAATGACATTGCAAGAAGATATAATTATCGATGAACTAATTACGTTGACAAGTGTACGGCTATTGAAATATCGAACTATATAAAGATATATTAAGATGTCTAAGTAGAGTATTAAAGGTTTCAATATTGGATGACAGCTAAAGTTTACGTATGGGACATATGATATAAGCATATTGTTAATTGTACTAAGTTACTTTTGTGAGTTGCGTGACATCAGGCTGTTTAACTCTGGGGAATGTAGCATAATGAAAATGAGAGAGCTTTTTAAATATCTTGATTGAATAAGATTGCTTTTTAAGCATTGCATTAGTGTTGAAAAAATCTTGCTGGTCATTGCGTGACACATAGATTGCGCTATTGTACATTTTGTGACTTTTTATTTCATATACCCACACGTTGTTTGTAACATGAGTATTTGTATACTATAATTTTACATTGGTCATCAGCGTATTTATCAAATGGAAACAAAACTTACTGTTGTCGCGTTTGACGTCACAAACATTTTTTATGATGTTTTTACTTTAATTATGGTTGTTAATCGTAGACGGTAAAACACTGGACTTATTACTCATAATCCGTTTACAGTGTCATTTACATTTTGTTTAGTCACAAAATTTACATCTTTTCACTTATTCATCTTTGTTGAAGTAAGCTTTTGTTATATACTTGTTATTAAGAAATAAAAAAAAAGAAAACCCGATGATATGTGTTTATGTTATTATTAGAACAAGGAAATTCATAGAGATTTTTGAATTCCCCTAACGTTTTACCTAATAACGTTATTACGGTAAAGGTTTTTTTTTAATCTTCCGTAATTGATATATGAGAATAGTACGAGTTTACGTAAGTGCCCCATAGCCGTCTTCTGATTTAACTTGCGTTAGTTATGCTAAAAATCTTCTCCCTATTTTTTTTTTTTGCTTATAACGTAATTTTATATATCTGATTATCATATAGGGTTCGTAGAAGCAAGGGTGTTATATTATAGCATTTAAATTACTTAACTATAATTACTTGTGTGATTTACTTCGTCTTCCGTATTTAATAATTATCCCATTGACTTGTCCTTTCAGTTATTAGAAAAATTACTGTAAACACATGAAAAGGCACAACAGTAGATGGCCTCTGAATTTGTACGATTGACTTGCTCTCTCAATTATTAGGAAAATACTGTACACAGTAAAGTTTTTTTTAATGAAAAGGCACGTGGAGTACGGTCAGACATATGCTTATCAATACCTTACCCTTCCCCCTTATGTCTCTTTGAATGTTAAAAAAATGTGCAGACATAAAACGAGATGCTGACTTCTCGCGTCCCCTTATAGCATACTCGCCGCGGTGAATACAAAAGCGTGCTGCCACATTATATTATTATACAAGTGCATTTTTTGGCGGATGGACCCTCATTAAAGATAGAAAACAAACATATATGTATACAAAATTTGCTAAAGTATTGGTAATATGCTCTTCAAGCAAGCTTATGTGTACTTTAAACTACATTTTGAATGAATAATCTCACAAGTTGCGAAAGTTTCGCACCTTTCCCGGATTATTTTCCTCTCGATTTAAAGTTGTTTTAACAATAATTTAAATGAAACATCAAAAGAAATAACTCCGATAGGCAATACCGATACTGGCTTCGCACATATTTTTAGATGTATCAGTGTTATTTTAGACCAATGCTAACCCAAAAAACGTAAAAAAAATCTAGGTCTTGCATTCCTATATTAGTAATTTATCGTACTATTTAAAGTAAATTATCTTTAATAATTTATTGGCACAGTAACATACTAAAATTCAGTTGTTACCTTTCGCCGTGACCTCGCCTTTTAATAAAAGAAAAATGGTAATTACCTAATTTTCTCATAATTTTACGTCTAATTTTTCCAATTTGCTTCTCTGTATAAAATACCTTTTTGAAATAATTGAATTATTTCACGATATTTTAACACAGTTTCTTTAAAACGGTGCTGATATTAACGTTCGTAATTATTATATTAACAGTGCATTATTAACCCAAGGGTTAAGCAGGTGTTTGTAACTATATATAGCTTTAATTTAATTTGCGACACAATAAGATTTTTAATGTTTCTGCATTTCAAAGGCAATCTACAGTTCGTACTTAAGAAAAACTTAAAATTTCCCTTCTTGAAGCCATTTTCAAAAATAATTATAACAATGATAATTATTGTGATGACGGTAATGATGATAATGATGAATATGCTGGTGTTGGTGGTAGTGGTGGTGGTGGTGGTGGTGGTGGTGGTGGTGGTGGTGGTGGTGGTGGTGGTGATGATGATGATGATGATGATGATGATGATGATGATGATGATGATGATGATGATGATGGAGAGTGTCACCAAAAATAGCATGACCTTTCTAATTGGTTAATAACATTAATAGCCATATGTAAAATATGTCACATAGTTTAAAAGAATTTATTTTTGTTCGATTGTGTAGGAAGACAAAAAACTTATAGTCCGTTCCAGGAACTAACCAGTACTGAGCAATGTGTGTCAAGGAAACAACGATTTGCCCCTGACGGGTTTAAAACCACACGATTAGAGATTCTTAGATTATTAGTCTGACGCGTTAACCACACAGCAATGCTGCCCTAACATATTTATTATAAGCCCAGTAGATTTGCAACATTAGTTCTACATGTTCGTGGATTTTCTTTATGTATTAGAAATGTCGGACTTTTCGGCAACCATTGTTATCATGGCAAAGTATTCTAATTGAACAATTAAAAACAATTAATATAGTGTATGTCTGAGTACTTTCGTAGGTTGTAATATCTTTAAGCCAGTGCAAATTAATTTCCACTATTTTTCAAATGTGCATATATCCATGATTCCAGAACAACCCAAGTTTTTCAAAGAAGAGTTTGACGCAAAACATTAACTTTAACATTAACATTATTGTTTAACATTATGATCGAACCTAAGACCTCCCGTGCATAAAGACACTAAAAATACGATTATCTACCGAATAAGTACGGCATTTTTTCTTGCATATATAATGCCAGTTTCTTCTCGAGTCTTTTTTCTAATTAAATCCCTAAACAAAATTGCTAAATTCAGTTGTTGTACCAATTAAACCTTTTTCTGTAAAGGTACGTTCATATAAGTTTTGTACAAAGAAAAAATTGTACGAGCTAGTATTTACGTTTTACAGCTGTCTGTAACAACAATAACAAAAATAGTTAAACATAACCTACTTTGATTTCAACAAACGAGACATTTTATAATTTCATAATTTATTGATATCAAAAGAGATATCATTGTCGTGAAACATTTATTTTTAGAATTAATTGATTTCGTGTCATATTAATGACCAATTAAAGCACGCGGATTCATTATGTCCGATTGTAAGCTCGAAACTTTTATCAACGTATGATTTATGTCATTTTAAAATTATAGCTCGTTAAATAAATTGTTAAAGGAAACTACAAAGCGTTCGGCTAATTTTCCCCGATACGTTTTATATAAGTATATTACACCACGTGCGAAATTAAAATTCCAAATTACTGTAGTATTTGCTATGTCATAGTTAATTTCCTCATTAAATTTTACTTTGTTCAGACATTTGACATATATCGCAAATGCATTTAATTAACACACGAACATGTGGTTTATAGTGATTTTTTTGCGTATCAGAAATTGAGCCAGGTGTCATGAAGCCTCACGAACATCTTGCAGCATGTCGTCATACGTTACGTCGTCTTCCGGTTTAACACTTGAAAAAAAAGTGACAGAAACACTATTTTTTCGATGATACAACGTGCTTAAAAGCACGACCATGTCTGGGTAATCAGTTTAGAAATGTAAGATTTGGTTTAAAAATATTTATTTTAGCTCGATTGCGAAACAATTTATTGCAAATTATATGAATCACTTTCAAGTCGACTTCCTGGAACCAACCAGTACTGGTGTCATATGAAGAAACATGGTCGTGACCCGATTAGGGCTCGAACCCATGATCCATGGGTTGAGAGGCAGACACCTTAACCACTAGAAATGTAAGAGCCCTGTACTAGCGCTAATGAGATGGAAATTGAACGTTTCGAGAAAATGGGTAGGAAATTTCTAAACCCTATTCACAAATAATATATACAAATACGTCAGTCATGAATATTTTAACATGTCAGAAATAATTATCTTTAGATAAATCCTTGCACAGTATTTCAGTTTGTCAAATCTAGCAATTTCTCACAAAAATCACTTCAATAGCGAGATTAGAAAAAGTTAAGCACGTTAAAATACGCCAATTTTAATCAGAAGAAGACGTGCGTCCTTCGAAATTCGGACGTACGGACAACCGAGTCATAATACAAACCAAATAAGCCACCATAATTAAGAATTCGACTATAAATTAAGTAAGCATATTTAAATACTCTGCTTAGCATCTGAACATTTTTTTTTATTTTTACATGATCAGCTTTGGGTTATTTTTTTATTATTTAAAAAAAATACCGGGAAGACACAGAGACATTTTAAAGATTTCATTTAAGCCTTGAGTAGTTGCGTCCCTTGATTAAAAAAATGGTTTCGAAAGGTTACATAATACATATCTGGTTAACAGAAAACTAAGGTGGATTCATGTCACTTTCTTGTTGTTAAGTTATTACATTATGAATCAGAATGGCGAATGACCCCTCCCTCACCCCCCCCCCCCCCCCAAAAAAAAAGAGAGTGAAGAAAAAGCAAAAGAATTCATGCAAATATGAGTGTGAGCCATAGACCAGGGAACAGGGAATTAACATGGTTGCAATATGGTTAGGGGTTATATCCACGGATGATGATTCGTTATCCTCATCATTTTCACTGGTAAATATAAAAAATATTAGCTAGCTAAATTTCTTCTATTTTTTTCGCATTATATAAGTTTACTCAACTGGTTCAATACATTTAGCATTAAACCTACACTCATTCATTACCCTCTATTTAGTTATAAAGATTTCTGGCAGGTGATATGGCTAATAATAATAATACAAATCAATTTCTCGAATTCTGATTGACTTAAACACTTTACAAAGTGTACGACCCGTGACATATATGAAATTCTACAGCTTATATACAGCAATGAATTCTTTTTTACTGGGCAGCGTTCGAGTAGCCGTTCAATGGCTGATTTCATCTTATTTACGTGCGCTTTTCTCTCGCACTTCTTTGAAATCAGTCTAAAAGTATATATAAACAGTTGTTTGCAATAATATGCTCCTCGACAAGTGGCTCCAGACATATTTGGAAACCACCGTTTATAATGGGTTATATAACCTTTCAAAATCTTTTTAACTATTAATTGTTATACGCTCCTGGAGTTATCCCAAGCAATGAAAAAAAACAACAACAAACCTATAGCTACACATTATGAAAAATGTGTTTTGTTATATCGGGAAAGAGATGAAATAATATCTAAAAATCTCAGACTCGATTTAATAGAGATAATCAAGTTTCAAGTTTTATTGATACCCCAAGGCCGGACTGTGTATGTGAAAAAACAATGAAAGTGCAACTATGCTGGCAATGCTATGAACATATGTGCATAAGAAAAAAAAAGATTTTGGCTTTTACTATTCATTAACTTTGAAAATTAAAGAATATGTTAGGTTTATGGAAGTACAAATTGTTTAAATATGTCGGGTTAACAGTTAAATAAAAAATGAAAATAATCACCTAACTTGTTATCAGA